ACAGCAACAAAGAAGCACAAAGGGGGTGCCGCCTGACTGATAACAAAGCTGATTTAGCTCAAGTGTATCAGGTAGCTTGTGAACCTCAAAGTTACCAAGAAGTACGGTATTAGTGTTGCCATGAGAAGAAGCTTTGCTCTGGGAAGGGGCAATGAAAGAAGAGATGCAATCTCTTCAGGAGCACGAGGTGTTCACATCCACTTCGCTGCCAAAAGGCGGTGGGGTGTAGATGGGTATTCAAGTTAAAGCCTCTTGCTTCAGGCAGATTTAAACACAAGGCACGCCTGGTAGCAAAGTGTTTTCCCCAGAGACCAGGGCTTGACTTTGATGAGGTGTTTGCACCTACTGCACGGAGGGAGAGCATGCACTTGCTCCTCGCCATTGCAGCAAAACACAAGTACAAAGTCAATCATTTTTATATCCAGACTGCATATCTGAATACAAACCTGGAGGAAGAGCTGTATATGTCTGAGGCGTCAGGTTTTGAGACAGGCGCAGACAAGGTGTATAGGTTACACAAAGTTCTGTATGGCTTACGCCAGTCTGCCTACAATTGGAACAAGTGCTTGGACAAAACCCTGGTATCTTTAGGATTTAAACGCAGCATAGCTGACAACTGCATGTATGTTCATGGGGCAGGAGACAAGCAGGAATTCTGTTTGGTTTTCATTGATGACCTTTTGCATATGGCAAAAGAAAACAATCAAATCAAAAGTTTTTCCACACAACTGGGCAAGAAGTTCAAGGTTAAAGATTTGGGTTGTGTTCAAACTTACTTGGGCGTGGATGTGTGCAGGGCTGAGCCAGAAAACTAAGATTGTGCAGCTGCTGGCAAGGTATGGCATGCAGAACTACAAAAGTGCAAAAACTTTGCAAAATCGTTGCAGGAGATTTTGGGGTCTTTACAAGGCCCCAAAGGTAAAGGTGGTTCCATTAAATTGCGAACCACCTGAAAGAGTCTCCTGCTACTATTTTCTGCAGATGCAATACAAGCGGTGAAGAAAGTCTTCTTCACCGTCACCATCACTCGACATTGAGCTCTAACCCATGTCCGGTCCAATTCAGAGTGAGTTTTCCACCAACAGCGCTCTAGCCGTTTCAGCGATTATTTCAACACCCTCAGCTCTGTGGGAAATCATGGGGCTGTCCGGGCTCCATGCAATCAGAGAGGACGCATCAGAGCCAGACAGTCAATAGCCCTGGTTAACTCCATATTCCAATGGGTCACCAGGGAATCAGCTGAAAGGCCATCAACATGGGATAAAGCATCCCCTACCACTCTCTGGAAACCATTTGGATCCATTAAGTGGTAGGGGTGAACCATCCAAATTGGTCCCACCTCCCTGCAGAAGGGAAGGGTTGCGGAGAAGTCCAGTTGCACCAGGAAGTGATCTGACCATGGCACTTCTTTTGTTTCACATTTACTTAGTGTCCGATCACCCACGTCACTAGAGGTGAACACCAGGTCTAAGGCATGTCCGTGACTATGTGTTGGGCCAGACGTATTCAGGGACAGACCTATGGAGGCCACGCTTTCCACGACGTCCCGAGTGGCCCCTTGTAAGGTCGTGTCGGCATGGATGTTAAAATCCCCTAGGTGTCTCCAGGAGAACATCTGCCATGACCTGAAGCAGCTCAGGCAGGGAATCCCTGGTGCAGCAGGGAGGTTGGTACACCAAAAGGAATCCTGCTCCAACTGGTGGTGGTCAAAGGTGATCGAGTGAAGAGGTTCCATGAATACCTCTACGGCAGGACTTTCGACCTCATCACCAACCACAAGCCGCTCCTGGGCCTCCTCGCCGGTGATCGACCAATTCCACCAGTCCTCTCACCGCGCATGCTACGATGGACTGTTTTCCTGGCTGCCTACCACTATCAGCTCGTCCATCGCCCAGGAAAATCAATGGGCCATGCCAATGCCCTCAGCTGTTGCCCTCTTCCAGTGTTTGTGGAAGACCCGGCTCCTGCTTCATCGCTCCTCCTCATTGAGGATCTTCCGGCAGCGCCTGTATCGGCTGCCACTGTGGCCTCCACATCTGCCCAGGGATTGCACCATCAGCCATGTGCTCAACTGGGTGTGGAGGGGGTGGCCACAAGGGCCTTTTGCATCAGAGTTCCAGTCGTTCACAACCAGACAACATGAACTCTCAGCTCATCGCGGCTGTCTGCTGTGGGGAGACCGTGTTGTGATTCCCCAAAGACTCAAAGATTCGTCAAAATGAAGGCGTTGGCTCGGTGTTACGTCTGGTGGCCTAACATGGACGATGCCATCACTGCCTGGGTTTCCACCTGTCAAGCGTGCCAAGAATCGAGGCCTGCGCCACCGGCAGCTAAGGGACACACCTGGGAGATGCCCAAGACACCCTGGTCGAGGGTGCACATCGATCTTGCTGGCCCCATTCACGGTCGGACCTTTATGGTAGTGGTGGACGCCTATTCCAAATGGCTGGAGGTGGCCCTGATGCCCTCCCCCACTACCTAGGCTGTTATCCGGGTGCTGTGAGGTCTCTTTGCAAAGCATGGGTGTCCTGATGTTCTCGTCTCCGACAACGGACCACAGTTCACGTCAGGCACTTTTGAGCGGTACCTTTTGGGACTGGGCATCCACCATGCCCGAATGGCACCATTTCATCCATCCAGCAACGGGCAAGTGGAGAGAATGGTGTGCTCAGCAAAAGAGGCACTGGCGCGCCTGGACCAGGGAGACTGGTACGAGCGAGTCGCTGAATACTTGTTTGTGCAACACATCACACCTCATGCGGCCACAGGGCGGAGTCCTGCCGAACTACTTATGGCCCGCCACCTCAGATCTCCGCTTGACCGGCTGCACCCGGACTTTGCCGTGGCCGAACCCCTGGGCTGTGCTAACGCGCCACGGTCCTTTGTTCCAGGAAACCAGGTCTTTGCTTGGAATTTTGTGGGGGACATTCCTTGGGTGTCAGCCACAGTAGTGGGAGTCACTGGACCTCCCTTGTACCAGGTGGCACTCGAAAATGGAGGTTTGTGGCGCTGGCACATAGACCAGCTTAGGCGCAGGGTTGGGGATTTGGACACTACCGCAGTGCCCCCAACTGCGCTTGTGGCTCCGTAACAGACACTTACAGATGGTGAGGCTCCACCTACACCTCTCTTGCAGACTGCTGGCGGAGAGCCGAACCAAGCCGTTTCAGAGGGTCTGCCGAACTCCCCATAGACTCAGACCACTGCCGTGCCTGACATTCCGCCAACTCCACTTGCGGAGGTTCCACCCACAGTAGCGGATCCAGGGCACTTGGGTTCAACGCCACCTAGGGTTGCGCCACAGCCTCAGCAAGAATTGGGTGGCCCCCCGGACCTGGGTACCGCTCCCCGTCAGTCTGGCAGAGTTTCCAAGTGCCCAACCTATTTAAAGGACTATGTTGTTGGACATGTAACACTGTCGGTCTAATGGAAGTGGGTGAAATGTAACCGATATGCTTTTTTGCCTAATTGAACCATTATATGTAGTGCTGTATGTATATAAGGAAACCATTACGATTGTAACTAAATAATAATAATAATAATAATAATAATAATTTTTATTTATATCCCTCTCTCCCCAGCCGAAGCTGGGCTCAGGGCGGCTAACAATAATAAAATAATACAACATTCTAAAATCATTTCATTATAAAATTAATTCAAATCAAATTGATGGCAACCATTGGGCTAGAGTTCTGTGAAGCAAAAACTAACACCTTATCTCAGTGGGGACGGGTGTTATGTACTGAAGTTCTCACCCTGGGCCAGCTGGGGGATTTGGTAGATAGTTTTCACTCAGGTCCGCATATGCAAATAAGGAATTGAAAGTGACATTCAGTGATTGGATCGTTACAGAAAATTGTTACTGTTGTCATGTAGTTGAGCTCTTATATAAGCAGGCTGGCTGAACCCTTCAGCCCTGTTCTGTTCTGTGAATAAACAAGAGCTGTCTGAAGAATTGCTGTGTCGTCTGATATGTTCACCCACAACTTAACACCACCCAGTGGTGTAGCGTGGGGGTGCAGGGGGGGCTGGCCGCACCGGGCGCAACATCGGGGGGGGGGGGGCGCTCGCACTTGCAGCTCTCTGCCCCTACTAAAATCCACGGGTTAGGGGGCGCAAATTACTTGCCTTGCCCCGGGTGCTGACAACCCACGCTACGCCACTGACACCACCAACTGCTTAAGGACATTTCAAAACACATTAGACACTTGGAACAGGGAAGCAATAGCAGAATAACCCCCGCACTTCCCCAAGATTTTGTTCCAAATGAGTCCAGGCCAGGGACTGCACTTAGGCAGGAAGATGGGCCTCCACCAGTGTAAGATGGGAGACACCTTGCTTGCCAGTAGTTCATGTGAAAAGGATCTCGGTGGGGGTCTTATTAGGCCACAAGCTGAACATGAGTGGACAATGTCACACAGCAGCAAAAAAAGCTAATGCTCTTCTAGGCTGCATCAACAGAAGTCGAGAGTCCAGATGAAGGGAAGTAAAGTACCATTCTATTCTGCCTTGGTCAGACCACACCTGGAATACTCTGTCTAATTTAAGGAGGAGAGTGACAAGCTGGAAGGAGGGCAGAGGAGGGCAACCAAGATGTTCAAGGGTCTGGAAACCAAGCCTTGTGAGGAACAGTTGGAGGGGCTGGGGGAGGACGAGCCGGAGGGAGGTAGGATAACCATCTTCATATCCCTCGAGGGCTGTCCATGGAAGAGGGAAGCAGTCCCTTCTCCGCCCCCGGGGGCGATGGGGGGAGGGAAGGGCACCGCCGCCTGCCTCTCCCTCGCCGGCTTCTCCCTCGGGGGGCTCCGCCCGGAGAGGCGCGCCCCGCGGGAAGCGGCGCCCAGCGCAGCCGCCGCCCTGCCCCGCCCGTCCCTCCGGCTGCCGGGTCGGGGGGGGGGCCCGCTCCTCGCCCGCCCGCGCCACGGGCCCCGCCCCCTCTCGCTCCGGGCGGAGCCGCAGCCAATGGGCGCCGGCGGAGGCGGGGCGCGGCTGGCGGGGGGGGGGTCGGGCGGCGGCGCCGGAGACGCTCCACTCTGTCGCTCGTCCGCCTCGCGCGCGCCATGGCATCCAAGTGCCCCAAGTGCGACAAGACCGTCTACTTCGGTGAGTGGCTCCTTCCTCGCCTCCATCCCTCCCCAAGACGCGCCCGCCAGAGCGAAGATGCTGGCTGCCGCGCCCGGGCGCTCTGCCCATGCTCAGAGGCCATGCCCGGGCGGGGACAAAGCAGAAGAAGCCGGCGGGCGCCGCCTTGGCGAGCTTTGCGCTTAGCCACGTCTTCGGTGGCTCCTCGTGCGTGCGCGGTCCCCGGGCCGCGCCATCCTCTGGGGCGAAGGGCTTCTTGCCCCCGAGCCCGAAGGAGCTGCTTCTGGGCGCAGCTGCGCGCCTCCGCCTGGCCACGCGCGCTCGATGGAGCCTCCCTCTTCAGAGGCAGTGTAGCGCGGACTACCCGGCGCCCTCGCGGAGCAGCAGCAGGCCCGCCTTGCGAGTGCCCAGAAGCAGATAGGCGGCCGCTCTTGGGAACTGGAGGGACCTGAGCCAGACCCGGCAGGGATGCTCTTATGCAACAACCAAACCTCAAGCCGCTCCACTAGTCCAAATGTACGGAAAATACTTTCTCGTTATCGAATCATTTGCTCTCGCAGGCCTCCTCCTCCAATCATTTCTCCTTGTCAAAAATTCACTTTCCCACCCGGCGCATTCATTCCTGCCAGATTCCCTCTCCTACTGAAAGAAAACAGTGGACGTGTCTTCTTCATTCTTACAGAACTCAGATTGTTGCTAGGTTACCCGCTCCTCTTTTGAGCACAGGGCTAATCATGCAGATGTCTCCTAAACAAAATGGTCAATTAAAAATGAGCAGCAGCAGCCCCCCTCCGTCTGCAAGAACAGGCCGGTGGGTGTGAGAGAGTGAGTGTTGGGTGAAACCGTTTGCTTAAGAGCATGTCGAGTGTGTTGGCGGTTGTAGAAAAGTGGAGCCACTCCCCGACTTCACCCCATCCCACTTAGCATACCATAGGCTTGCAGTGAGCGGCTGCTACTGGCTCGTTCCCATTTTTTGTTGTTATTGGAAGCTGTTTCTAGGCATGCAATGCAGGTGCCTGAGGTCAAGGAACTGAGAGGCATCCTGCATCCTTCTTTAGAACCTCTGTTGCCAAGAGCAGGACAGAGAGAAGTGGAGCCTCAGTAGGATGCAGTGGGGATCCCCATGCATAGAACCACACATTAATTTTGTATGTTGCACGAGAGTTTGGAAATCTAACTCCAGGCAGGATCATAGCTAGGGGGTGGCAAGGTGGGCCCCTGCCAGGGGCGCAGGCGATTGGGGGGCACAAAATTGGCTAAAAATATGTCCATAAATATAAATATTGATTATTGCCTCATAAGAAATGATTTTACATAGAGGGTGAATTGAATGGGTGGAGGGGGGGGGTTGGAGAAGAGGCGGCAAGAAGAGCTCATTTGTCCATGGCTAGAGGGCGCAATCTGGACGGTTCTGCCAGGGGTGCAAGATCACCTAGCTACAGCTCTGCTTCCAGGATGACCAGAATATCATATTCTCTGCCCCAAATGCCATTAATACAGAATGAAGGTGAATAAGTGATACCTGGGCAGTTCATGAGCCGCCATGTGATGGGTTTCTGGACATCATTTTAGGGTCCTTAACTTGGCAGCTTGACTGTTTTTGTGTGTTAAATTAAGCGAGTGCTGAACACCTCAGAAAGGCAATTTCTAAATCTTGGGTGTTGGTTTGTTTAGTTCAGTCAGTCAAAGGAGGCACGAAGAATGCAGGCAAGTCCTCTTTTACTGCCACTTTCTTGCCTTTGTCAGGGGAACGTTATGGCCTCTTGTTCAGCAGCAGATGGTTCAAAATGTGGGTTTGTAGCCACTGCATAATAGCCCGGCCAGATTCTGTTCTCTGTCTGGACAGCTTTTGTTCTGGGAATTGCTGTTTTAAATTAGACTGCCTTTAGGGGACCCAAGCGCTCACCAGATCACTTTCTAATGGAATTAGGGTGCAGCATTCCCTTGTTACACCCAGTCAGGCATCAATTCCATGCTGAGGATTTGCTGTGCATTGTTCGCTTTTCCTTCCTGGAATTGGTTGAGGCTCTGTGAAGCATGACATCACAATGGTCTCTTCCTGCTTGTTTCTGTTCAGGAGTTATGCATCAGCCAGTGTGCTTGTTTCTCTCCCACCATCTGCAAGTAAACACACAAAGGAAGACGAATTCGCTGTTTTCTATTTAAAGACATTTGTGTGGGGGTGAAAAAACTCATTACCCCTTTCCTTGGGATCATGTTTGTGATGGGAATAACACATATTCTTTCTTCTGCTCTCTGGGGGAGTTCTGTTCTCTTGAGCATGATATGAGAGAGACAATCTAATTTTTTTAATGACTCCTGTGAGAAATATGCATGGGAAGCATTAAAGTCAGAACTGAAAACCTGAATGAATTTCTCAGGAAAGATACTTGACCAGTTACTGGCCTGGTTTAGGCAGAACAATACTGGACCAGGAATTAGCCATGTGGTCTTCATTGCACTCCCAGCTTTGACAGAGCTTTCCTGGTTTCTTAAGTCATAGTTTCTCTTGCTATCCAAACTGGGAAACTGGTCTGAGTGATCTTGGAGATGCTGTTTGATATCCTGGTTTGTTGGTAGTGGTCAGATCCCAGTATCTCAGTTCAGATGTTTCTGGAAGCAGTGCTTTAAACAAGAAAAGCTTTGCTGAAGCTGGATGTGTGAGCAGAGGAAGATGGTGAGGTGAATAGGGAGCACACAAACATACAAGTTGTTCCTGGTACAATAAGACAGGTATCTTCAGACCCAGGACCCGCTTTTAACCCCATGCGTTTGGGGACTCATTTCTTAAACATTTTCCCTTACATTTGCATGTGATAGTTCTCCTGTTTGTGGCCCAGGCCTCCGCCTACTAATGGGTCCTCAGAAATGGTTTCTGTTGTCCCTTCTTTAGAGATATTTCCTGAAAGATTTATTCCCACATGGACTTGTGCTTTTACTAATGAAATGCATCAACAAGGTTCTATGATTCTATGCGACAATGAATTCTTATATTGTGCCTGGCTCTCACTCTTAGCTGTAGAAATCACTACAGTGGGACCTCGGGTTAAGTACTTAATTCATTCCGGAGGTCCGTTCTGAACCTGAACCTGTTCTTAACCTGAAGCACCACTTTAGCTAATGGGGCCTCCTGCACCACCGGAGCACAATTTCTGTTCTTATCCTGAAGCAAAGTTCTTAACCTGAAGCACTATTTCTGGGTTAGTGGAGTCTGTAAACTGAAGCGTATGTAACCTGAAGCGTATGTAACCTGAGGTACCACTGTATTGTGTTTGGAAATACTTAGGTCATGTGTACAGTTGTACCTTGGAAGTCGAACGGAATTCATTCTGGAAGTCCGTTCAACTTCCAAAACATTTGGAAACAAAGGTGCAGCTTCTGATTGGCTGCAGGAAGCTCTACTATTAATGAATTCTACAAATGGATGCCATGTAGCATAGAACAAGTCTTTTGGGTAGTGCCTCTCATGACTCAAAAATGCCGGTCAGTTTTTCTGACTAGACTATGTATCTGCCATAATCTGTTCAGCCATTTGTTGTATGACAGTGCACTGATGTCTAGTGGGCTGCTAGTTCTGATCTGGCCGCTGCTAGGCCAGGAATGTTTTGGTAGGAGTTGGTATGCAGTCTATAATTGATGTTTGACAGGAGAGTCATTGTTGGGAAAGGTGGCAGCTCGTGTCTGGAGATGGAGGAGGGTGGCAAATATCTCTTCCCCAAAGTGGGTGATCTTTGCGCAGGTCCACCACATATGAATGGTGGTGCCCAGCTTGGAACAGCCTCACCAGCTGATGGTGATAGAAGGGGAGTCAATCTTGTGCAAACAAAGGGGTGTGCGGTGCCATCAAAATATTGTTTTTAGTGTCATCTTCTGTGTTTTGGCCAATATAGATTTGAGCGGTGGGTTAACCCATAGCCTGTTCCATGTGTCTTCATCAACCTGGGTTCCCACATGGCTCTACAAGATATGGATGAGCCCTTCTTTGTGTCAGTAGTTCATAAAGCTGAGAAGACATACCTTTGTGTTATTGATTAGTTTGGGTGCAAAAACGTCATCTGTGAGCGCATTGCTTATGAATGAATCACAGAACTGGGGTTGCAAAGCCTGCCTACAAAAGTTCTTAGTTATATATATTGTAGCCAGGAGTGAGAGACTGAGTTTGGAAGCTAGTGCTTCTTCTTTACTCATTGGTCTCTATGGAGGATGTCCTGCAGACTGCATATGCCTTTTGACTTCCCGTCCAGCTGCTATCATCTCTTCCAAGCTTTGTTTATTACAAACCCTGAAAGTTAAATTTAAAAAAATTTGGGAATATAATTAATAAATAAAGGTAAAGGTACCCCCGCCCGTACGGGCCAGTCTTGACAGACTCTAGGGTTGTGCGCCCATCTCACTTAAGAGGCCGGGGGCCAGCGCTGTCCGCAGACACTTCCGGGTCACGTGGCCAGCGTGACAAAGCTGCATCTGGCGAGCCAGCGCAGCACACGGAAACGCCGTTTACCTTCCCGCTAGTAAGCGGTCCCTATTTATCTACTTGCACCCGGAGGTGCTTTCGAACTGCTAGGTTGGCAGGCGCTGGGACCGAGCAACGGGAGCGCACCCCGCCGCGGGGATTCGAACCGCCAACCTTTCGATCGGCAAGCCCTAGGCGCTGAGGCTTTTACCCACAGCGCCACCCGCGTCCCATAATTAATAAATATGTAGCAAATAAGTTTGTCTCTGAAAAGCCTGGCAAGCTGATAAGCAACAGGTTCCTGAATGTTGGTTTTCTCTCAACTACCTATCTTGACTGTTAGAACAAACGAATGTGTGGATCACTGTTTGAGGATAGGTTGGGAGCCAAACAGTGGATCTCTCCCTTTTTCACAGTTTGAACTGGATGAAGGAGAGATTTGAGAAGGAGGAGAGATTTGAGAAAGTTGTCTTGAGCCTGAATTACACTAGTCTTGAATCTGCCATGGGTGTATTTTTTCTCCAGGATGTATTCCAATCTGATAGGCCATGAACAGGCCGGGTTTAGA